AGGGTGTGTTTGAATGAGTGCTTAAATCAGGGCTGCACAGTAAACATCTCCATTCACAATGAAGTTCTCTGTAGCCGCCGGAACATTGGACTCTCTCTTTCTTGAGTGCCAGCGTCTTTCTCTTTGAACTAAAAAGTCAAGCTCTTTTTGTTTATTCTGTCTGTGCTCCCATTAATATTACACCTCTTTCTGCGTAAAGGTCCATCAGAAAGGATAGACGCTATCCCACTATCCTACCGTTCGTGCGTAGTGGCTTGAGGCAGTATCTTTGAAAGTGGGAACCAAGGGTTCAAAATGACTCAGGTTAAGAGACTGTTGTTTATTAAGTAGATTGTTACGAAAAAAGTAGCTGCTGTCAGCGCAGCTCTCTGCTTAGGATATAAAAAACAGTGTCCACTGTCTCCTTTTTGGCCTCTGATGTAAAATGAACTCAATCTTATATGTTGATGATAAACTTAGACTTGAGTATACCACCTCATAGTTTAGACTCATTCAGAGGTTTAATGGTGTTGTGTGTTATATACATGTATAAAGTTCAGTATGAAGTTTAGATGCCCAGCAGCTGACCTCAGGGCCAGAAAATGGTCCCTGGCTCATTTTATATAGCAGTATATAAAACACATATACTATATATATAGTATCTAGTATAGATAATCCTTGTTACTTTAGAGAACCCTTTTTCAAGAAGACGGCATCACAGCTGACAGCATTTCTTAATTCCGAAGTCTAGGAACTTGACAAGTTGTGAAGTGTCAGCTGCTGTCAGTTAATTACAACCTCACCACTCTCTTTTCATCACCTTTTAGAAATAATTTTCAAGACATGATTTTACAATGTGAAGTCATCTTGTTGCTACATCTGTAGATGGTAAAGTACCTGAAGACTTTCTAGACAAAGCCTTCCAATTCCCACTAGTTTCAAAGTCCAAAAATAAAAAGAGCATAGAAGTCCTATCTAGATCTTCAGCATTTTAAACATTGTATTTATTGTTTCAAATTCAGGATTGGTATGTTCTCTTTTAATCCAGTGGACTGGTTCTCTGCTCTCAAACTGCCCCATCCTTATATTGTAGCACAAACAGTTTATACAGCTTGTGGTATGGATACCCCACAAGCAGACAGAGCAGACAGACCTTTAAGCTGCTGCTTGGTCAAGGTCCATCTATCAAGCTTGCTTAAAGGACTGTACTCTCTACTTGTACTTTTCATGCTAAATGCTGAATTCCTGGATTAGTAGATCCTCAGTACCTGTTCTGTTCTTCACTTTTCCTTGTAGACCGATTTCCTGGAGACTAGGAGAGCAGACCAATTCCTAAGCTCATAGTCAGACAGATTTTCATGAAAGCAGGCAGAGGCTTCAGTGTAGGTTCTTTATTGCAACTATTTTACCCCCAAGTTAATGAATCCCTCCCTCAATATCTTTTCCTATACCTCCTTCTCAAGCCAAAGCACAGCTTTACATCCTGGATATATTTAAACTGATTTTCTTCTTCCTGGAGAGGTCTAGATTAGACTTGCAATTACGTTTTCACCAAAACTGTTTGTAGCATTTTCAGAATGGCAGGTATCTTCAAAGAAGATGGGTTTGAACGGGTTTCAAACAACATATGTTCGTGGTTTTTTAATGATGACATATCCCCTAGAACGTGTAAGAAGTTATATGAACTGAATTCATATGATCTCTGCTGGAATTTTTTTGAAAACATTCCTGTGATTGAGATTTATAACAACAATGTAGCATTCTATCTGTAATTTGATACCACATTGTGCTGTTGTGCAATCTTTTTCCTAGATAAAAGGTTTGGTAGAGAGCTCTTTCTGATGATACTACAGAAGGCCTCTTACTCATCTCCACAAATAACATTGCTTGCAACTCACCAAGAGTTTCTACTGTGTCAAAGAAGAAAGAATAGTTATTTATATTACTGTAACTAGGCTTTTCAAGCCTGTGTTCTGTCTTAATAAATTTGGAGTTCTGACAGTTAGGAGTTTTTATTACTGAATAAAATGAAAGGCTGATAAAGTTGCCATGCCTTTTATTAGTTCATTAGACAGGAATTATGTTTCTCATACATGAGATACAAATGCATAAAGAGAATGGAGTCTTTGTAAACCCCACATGCCACAGGACCAGTTACTGCAAGGTAAGCAGTTTTTTGCCTTTCCAGGCATTACTGGGCATATCCAAAGATAGTATTCTCTATATAGCTATCAGAAAGAAGTTTAAAGATAGATTTTCAAATGTGGCCTGTGTTTTAGCATCACAGTTGTTCATGATAGTGCTTTAGGTGATTTACTTGTCTAGACAAAACACAATTAAGCAAAGAACTTAGAGAAAAAAACATAAAAATCCTTTAAATGCAAAAATTTCCTCCATAATGCTCAGAATTCTTCACTGCCATCAAATTGCTGAATATTCTTCCTGGCAGAAGAAGTACCATATTCATTTTCAACTTCTGTTTTTTCTTGTTCTTATTTATTCCTGTGTTTGTTTTTTTTTTTAGATTTATGGCTCTAGTTTATCACATAACTCAAATGTTAATGTACTCTGCACAGATGAGTACTATTATATGGTTGTTACATACATTACAACAAAGAACTATTGCATTCTTTGTCGATAGCTATTCTATTTATATTTATTCATAACAAAAATATGATTCTGAACTACACAAATTGTGCTTGTTTCTTTATAATATGTATTACTGTGACTATTACTGTTATTGCTAAATTCACCCTTTGACTTCTCTCGTTTTCACTTTTGGTAATATCTGGTTGTAGTTTTTGTCTTTGACCAAATTTTAGGATAGTTGGGACAGCAGTGTTTTTCCCTTGCTTGTACAATGTAAATGCAATAGGACCCTGATTAACAGTGCAGTTTCAGAGTAGTACTGCTAAGTAACTAATACTATTTTTAAAACATGTTTTTTTTTGTCAGCCCCTAAGAGAAATGGTGCACTGGTACAATGAAACAAGTTATCCTATGTGAAAACAAGCTTATTTATGAAACCTGCTGTGGGAATACCACTTTTAATGAATCTAGACGAGAACATAGGGAAAGCTAGAAATTTGCTGATTTGACTGAGAATTTCCCCTAATTCATCAGTATCATTTTCTTATATTAAAGTGGAAGCGACAGAGGAAAATTAAAATATATCAACTTTGATGTTTAGATTGTATGTCAGTGAATGTGCTATTGAAAGCATAGGTACAGACAGGTCCTAATGGAGGGTGGTACTGTGCAAATTGTCTCCTAAATATTCTTATTTATTGCCAACAGTGAGTCTATAAATCTTTGTAATACAAGATGTTATCACAGGCAAGTGCTAGGTTAATACAAAGCTAGAGAGCTGTATTCTATCTGAATTTCTGTGTGTCATCCACCTTGAAAAAGCAAATGCAGTCTGGAAGAAATCACAAAAAGGTGTCCTTGCACCTCCCCTGGCCTATAATCCTTCCCTTCTCCCCAAACTGTAAACTATCTTACATTAAGAGCTAGATTCTTAATTTATATAAATCAACATTTCAATGGAACTTCACTGAAATCAGGGTCATAATATATACTGCAGTAGATAGGAATTGCGTCCAAGAGTTTTTCTACAGTAATCTGATAATATAAATGTAATTAGGTGATAAAGAATGTTGAGATGTCTTGGAAGTAAACATTAAACATTGATCACCTGCTGATTTAATTTCTGAGCATAAATATATTCCAAGACAATGCCTTGGACTTAGCTAGAACACTAACATAAAAAATAAAAGCGGGATGTAAAAGTCATTAACATTTCTCTGAGTAATGTTAAAGTGGGAATTCTAAGGCCAGATCATCAATAACCGCAGGAAGAAAATTCAGCCAGCAACAACTGCAGTACGAGGAGCAGCACAGTATTCCATTTTCATCTCCTCACTTTCCAGGCCCTGTTAATTCTTCCTTTACAATATCAATACTATTGTAATAATTTTTTGCAAAAATGGAAAATCCATGGGTTGTGAAGTGAGGCTGGTCACTTTCTTTTCCTCTGGTACTATGCTAAATAATTAATGAATGCATTTATTTATGGAATTATTAAGCTACTTCAGCATGTCTAGCAGAGTGTAAATGTTTCGAAGACAAGTTAAACTTGGACAGTAAGCTAGGAATTGCTCATACAGAGAGCTCAGCATACCCAAAATATTTGTTTATGGACATAGGCATTTTTTTAAATGCTGCCTGTTATTTCTTCCACTAAGAACGAATATTAATTTCCTTCAAGCTAAGCCTCCAAAAGATTAGATTTAGAATAAAATTTGCTCAAATGAATGATGAATTTTCCTCGAAATGAAAATAGCAAAACAAGGAAATGAGTTAACCCAGCATTCACATCCAAAAGATATCAATCTTCAAGTATTAGCCCATAATATTATGTATTAGCCCGTATATTAAACCTTGTATTCAGTGCACACCTGGAAATCCCCATATCTTTGATACCAGCTTTCTAAGTATATATATTTTAAAATAACTTATCATTAGCTATAATAAGCCTCCTACAGTTTTATTATCTACACGTAACATACGAAAGAGTAACAGAAAACAATGAAGATGAGTCATTTTTCAAAAGACAGAGCTTCAACTGCTTCTCACATACAGACTTCCACCACTATGTTGTGTACACATTAGAGGTGGGATTTGTCTTGTCTAACTTTAGATACCTAAATCTTATTCAGCCAAGGATGCAGCCTGACAAGCATTTCTTTTGCTGCCAGTACTGGCTTGAACAGGTGCTGTCTTCACTGTATGCGTCTCTCTCCCTGCTATCATCTGAATTACACTAAAACCTCTCTTTGTGTATCAGTTATGACTATTGTTAAGCTGGAGGTGCTTTTGAAATAAACATTCATCAGATAATGGTTTGCCTCAAAAGTAGTCACCCCATGCTTCTTCTGTAACAGAAGGAAACAGGCACCACCTGATTTATAGACTCTTCATTGCCTCTGTTTTGAAATAAGGCAGCTTGCTCTTTGCAGGTGTCTGTCTCCATTGGACCAAATGGGATGCATTTGATGGTGCTGAGGGAGATGGCTATTGTCATTGCTCTATCACCTCTGAAAGGTCATGGAGATTGGGGAACAGAGGTTCCTGATGGAGAAAGGCTAAAGTTACGCTGGTCTTCAGAAACGGCAAGCACAATCCAAGGAACTTCAGAAGTCCCTGAGAAAATCAAGAAGCAAATCTGCTTGGAAGCTATTTCTGGGCATGTGAAGGAGAACACAGTGACTGAGAATAGCCAGCATGGATTTGCTGTTGGTAAATCACACCTGCTTTTCAAGACCTAACTGGACAAAGCCCTGAGCAACCTCGTCTGAATTCGATGTTGACTCTGCTTTGAGCAGGAGGTTGGACTAGAGACCTCCCAGGGTCACTTCCAGACTGAGTGATTCATTGATTCTATGCTAGTGACTATACTTCAGCTGAAGAGGGTGATGAAGGGGAATAATGTCTGAGGAGTTATGATTCTTTACACTATCTGATCCTATTTGCATCAAGAAAATGAGGAAGTACTTTAAAAATTCAGGAGACATGTAAACAGTAATTTTATCTTAGTTTAATGTTTACCAAACTTAAAGTAATATCAATTTATTCAATATTTCCCAATAAATACTATGGTTATATTCATTAACTCAGAAAAAGAACCTAATGAAAAACTGTATTTCATGTTGGCTAACTCTTGTATGTTTTCATTTGACTGTTCTTAAACTAGTCCGAGTTAGTTTGTGAAATTTGTACTTGAAAAGCAAATTAGCTACTGGAATAAGTTTTACTAAGAATAAGGCAAAGGTCAAAACTTTTGAAAGATTATGTTACAATTATATGGTAATTTTTACTGACAAGAATTATGTTGTAGTTGCTGTGCTTAATAATATGTGATTTTGTATTTCTCCCCCGTGAATTTACAGAAAAAGAAATTTACCTTAGATTAAGTAAGATCTCAAAACAGATATTTATGGAATAAAAACTTTCATAAGCTTCACATTCCAGCTTTGACATTGTTCACAGTTTATTGAACTAGTGAAAATTAAACTTAAAAAATATGGAGAAAAATGAAGAAATCGTCTTAAGGGCTTGCCTATGCCCATATGTCCAAAAGCCGATATCGCTAGTTAAGCAATTAAATCTATATTTAGGTAACCATGAGTGAAAGTCATTGAAGTCGTCTCTTCTAACTTAATGTCTAGAAGCAGAACCTCTTAAGTCTGGGCCAGCCAGTCACCATCTGTTCTATTCATAGTCAACTGAGAGAAATATCTGTTTGTGGAGGGTGGTATACGCAAGCTTTCTTAGATGCCTAAGGATGAGTTGTATTGCTTACTGGAGATGCATTCTGTCCATTAGCTATAAAGAACATCTGTCATTACTAGCTCTTAATGAGACACCTTACTCTTGGTTGCTGAAGCTAGAGCAGATTACTTATACCACAAGTAAACAATCTGAATTTTAGAAACTTTCGGCATTCTGACCTCTAAATGGCTGCAAGTGTCCAACAGCTCTGAATAGTCAAGTTAAGATATCTGTGATTAATAATATGAGACCTTTCACTACAGCACCCATCGTAAGCCCTCTAGTCCTGTTTTGAATCACTCAAAATGAAGCCTGTGTCTCCTCTTTTAAAGTACTGTTCATGGCTGATTTATTCTCACTGTGCAGTTATGTTCTGTTTATACAGCTTTCCTGTTTCACTAAGGTAAAATCTTTGCAATAGTTTCAGCTACTGTTTCTATCCCTTGTGTTTATACTTTTCTGTATTTTCTGAATGCTATCACATTTCTACATCTTCAGTACTTGTGGAAAAAGTTACCCTGCAACAACGTGCTATCACACCATCTTCTTACTCATTTGTTTTTCATCTCTGAAGTCTCCCAATTTTATTAAAATCTCTGTAGTGTTAAGATTGGAATGCATTACTCTAGATGATTTCTGGCAGTGCCAAACGAAGAGAAAGCTTATCCTTCTTTTTTCGATGTGATGTATCTATTCAATGTCAAAAATCAATTGTTAATGCAGAGTTAAGTAGTTAAGTTTTCCTTGTAATGTCTCATGTCCTTCCAGAATGTAACAAAACTGAAACCTCAGAAGACCAGAAAAATACAGAGTTAATGTACATGCAAATGCAAATTTAACTTTTCCTTCCATTCCATGCCAACAATACCTGCAATGCTTGAATTTTGGTGTTTTTTTTTTTTTTCAGGTAATGTAGGGAATTGTGGATATACTGCAAGAGAAAGCCGAACAGCCATTTTCTGATGAGGCAGTGTGTGAATGCTGATCTATAGAGACAGGATTGACTTGCGTCTTTCCAACATCTTTTCATACAAGAACGTCTTCCAGAAATAACTATACTTTTGCTATATTTTACAACCTCTGCATCTTTTCTTAAAGAACAACCTCTAACACCCTATTTCACTTGCCCACTGCCTGCTTTCCTAACTGATCTTACTAATCCTATCAGGGCCAGAAACTGCTTTGTGCCTCTGTAGCTACAACGTATATGTAGGACTTGAGTCAAAGATTCATACCCCATAACTTTAGAGACTTAAATGAGTCACCTGTGCTAAAAGTGGAGTGTCTCTGTGGCCCTCTATTACCCTCACAGAGTGAGAGGCAACTTGCAGAAATGCCAACTGAAGATGTGGATCACCCTTTGCAGATACCTCTCTTCACTGTGCACTAAGCATTCCAGCTAAATATATAAAGATAAGTGAGATGAGTCCGTGTCTCACCACTAAAATTAAATAGACTGGATCATAGAGTAGCAAGAGGGAAAACTGTGTTAGCACTTTTTGCATTGATTTTCTGGGAGGAGGAGAAGAGAAAGGTTCATTCGTGCTCAGGAATCAGATTGAAGCTTTTGCAATTGCTGTACTATTGTGGATAGTTAAAGATTCTGTAAAAAACCTCTGTAGTCCCCATTTACACAATGTCAGTATGATGTCTTATAATGGAATAGAAATAAAAGTCTTTATATAAAGCTTATGGAGGGTGGAGTTGCTGAGAGGGCATAGAGAGAAATTACTGATGCTAATTCTCACAATGTTGACAGTTAAATGCAGTGTTGATTAAATTAATTTTAAATGTATGAAAGAGGATTCATTCACTCCTTCTACCATCTTTTGTAATATGCTGACTCCCTCCTCCTCTACTATCATATGCAGCTAGTCTTCCTTCCGTCTGGTTTAACCACTGACAAATATGCAGATGACCTTAGCTTTCTGTTGCCTTCTGCTACCAGCCACATATGATAGGCAGAAGTTTTAGGGTGTTTCATACATCCTTTGCTATATATGCTGAGATGTAATTCAAGCCAGGCCCTGTGTGCTTATACTGTTTCCCCCAGTGCAGCCCCTGCTCTTATCTGTAACTGTTCTTATTAATGCATTTCTCTTTTCTCCGCATCAGACACATTCTCCTCACACAAATCATTAGGCTGCATGTGTGTTAATCTTGTATTTCCAAGTTCTATGAGTTAAAATTGTTAATTCTCTTCTCCCACTTTAAAGTCATTTATCCCAGTCAGCTTGGACATTCTCAAAGGGGGGCACAGACATGTCCCAAGTGGCAGGAGCTTCCAGGGTCCAGCATTCACCTGGGACTTGGATGGATTCATGGAAGCAACATTTCTGAAGCCTTGTAACCCCTCCTAATAGATACAAATACTCAGAGAAAGAGGGACTTAGGTCCTGAGGTTCCAGCTTACTTGAGGCACAAAGACTCAAGCTCCAAGATCTTGATCTAAACCTAGAGGATCTGAAGAAATTCAATACCGTGTCATTCAATACAGTGTCATGCAGAAGGACAGTGTGCACCTACTTCTAATCAAGTAGCAACATATTCGTCTATGGTAGACAGTACATGTACTCCTCACAGATTGCTCTCAGTTTGTCCACTCTTTTTTTTTTTTTTTTTTAAAGAAGGAAGTGATTGGGTCAGGTAGGATGCTTTGGAGAGTGATTGCTCCTTTCCTGAAGAGCAACTGAGCTTCGTAAGGGAATTTGGAGACTGCTGAGTGTAGAAGGAAAGAAGGGTATTACAGGAAGAGGCTGGAAGCCAGTTAAATCACAGACAGTGATGAGAGGAGCAGGCTAACAGTTGTACCTCTAGGCTGACAATATCTCACAGCACAAGTAACACAAGTTTAAGGGCATCCCCTTGAGTCCATAGATTGCTGTGATAATTGGATGTCTGCAATCTTTCTTAGTTGCTTTGCCATACCTATAAATACCCACCTTTTTGACACACGCATATTTCTTGTAAGATCTAAACAGTTAATCTAGAGAGCTAATCTTTTAAAATTTTCCATATCACTTCTCTGAAGTATAGTTGAGACACAGTTGAGAATAAATAGAGGTGCGTAGAATGTATTCACCTGTTGTTTGGGAATTATACAGTTCACTGTCATTTTATGCATCAAAAAAGTTAAGCTTACCTACTCTTTATTTGCACTGCACTACTGCCAAAGAGGATCTAGGTGCCCTGCACAAATGCTGAATGACATATCAGTTAAGGTTAGGCTTTCATTTACTTGTTCCTGATCATCAGGAAAAACTGGTTTCTGTGAGAGAGGAATGGTAAAACCGAAAAAGTTGGAAAATATATCTTCTTTCATTTTCTTACCACATACTTCTTTGGTATAAGTATAAGGCACAGGATTTTGTTTCCCAAAATTACACTGCAGGAAAAAATCCAGCTTTCTCTGTGGCCTCTTAAGATATCTCGTAGGGCCCGTGTATCACAATTATTCCATCAAATGTGTAAACTTGATGGCCTGAGGCATGCAGTGTATAGGGCTCCCTTTGTCGGTGAGTCCCCACCAAGGAATAGCCCTGAACAGCCCAGCATTACCTAGGTACTTCAGAGGTACAGAACCCCTGATGCCCCTGGGGAGAGTGACCATCTACCGTTGTCCTCTGCAGAGCCAGAACTGAAGGGAGTGGGTTTAGCTAAAGCAAGCCTTATCCACATGTCTGATCTTTTTTTTTTCTTTTCTGTTAAAAGTAACAAAGGTGAATATAACAATCTTATCTGAACAAATATAGGCTGACATTCTATGTCCAGTATGTCCTGGGGTAGAGCTCACATGCAAGTGGCTGGGTGGCCCTCAAGAATGCTCAGAAGTTTTGTGTCTTTGAAAAGGAGAAGGACCGTCCAAGATTCCCTCTCTGTGGCAAGAACTCAGTGATTGTGTGTTTGTGTGTCCCTCCCATGAAGAACAGGAGCGCAGCAGGGGCTCGTTGTGCAGAAGTAATGTATCAACAGAGTTGTCAGCACGGCAAATATGAGTAGTAAAAGCAACAATCCTTCCCCCCCCCAACCAAATTCAAAAAAATTAAATAAAGCCTACAGCAGTCAGTCTTTTGGGAGATTTTAGAGCTTGTTTAATGGAAGAGCACTAGAGGTAGTGTGGATTCGGAAAACTAGCTGGAAAAATCTACTAATGTTGATGGGAAAACTTCAGTAGCCTAAGTGCAAAGACTGCAGCATAAACAAATAAAGATGAAGTTTGAGCCCCTGATCTGAATAGAAGATAAGTGTAGCACACTGACTTTATGAAAAGTCTTTTTCTGTTGTTGCTGACCTCAAATCTTTAACCATTGGCTTAAGTTTCCAGACAATTTGAGTAAGTATTGTGAATTTCAGAGTTCTGAAAACAGTAAACCTTAAGAAAGTAAAAGGTTATCAATTATAGTATAGCTCCCAAATTGTAACAATCTTACTGCCTTACTATATCATATTGCAAAATTTTTATCTGAAGAAGACAGTGCAAGGCAATGCTTGGATCTGAGTACTGCAAGCAATTTAAATCTAGATTTCAGTTTCAGCTGTTTAGGCTCAGCTCAATTCACATCCGTCATTCTATAATTCATGTAACATATGGTAAACAGCATTGATCAGGTTCGGTGAATTAGAAAACAGGGATAAACAGCACAGTTGCTTAATTTTGTATTTATTTGGTGTTGGGTTGGATAAACTCAATAC